GCTATTTTTTTTGTAATTAACTCCCCGACAAAAATACCTAGGTTTATAGCACTTTGGGACAAATTAGGACGAATATAAATGTGTAAATATTTTTTTAATAGACCGATCTATCTTATTATTTTAAGTTTTTGTAATGGAACTGAACAAATATTTATTAAAGATGGGATAACATTATTAAGTGAGAAATTCGTGCTGACCATCATCTTCCTAAGGAAATCATTATGTAATTTCCATGACAACTTACTTAATTTACTGAATGAACGAGAGGAAGAAACAATAATATAAATTGAGATAAGCGGGACCTGCGTTACTTATGTTAAAACTTTTTGAATGGTACAAAATGAAAACATTTGTTAATATAAAATTTGAAGGAATATATTTTTGTTGTAAAAAGACATAAATCGGAGTGTTTAACCCGTATTATTAATAAATGTTCTATTAATAATTGTGACTATAAAATTTTAATTCTAGAATTATATCGTTATTAATAGTTTATTTACAGGAAGCGGTTGCACGACATACAGAAATTTGTCAAAATTACGCAGAAACATATTGGTAATGTTTGAGTTCGATAATGTATAGTTCTATAATTTTGAAAACTTATATATACGTTAATATCCAGCATACTCAAGTCTATCCTCTTGCGGGATTGTGAAATGCCTACCGGTTTAATGCCTCCCTCCCTTCTTAGAACAACAAATTTTGAAAGTCACTGATCAACTTTTCCGTCCCCTTAACTGTTCATGGAGATGCGAATTACCAATAAGAACTGTCCATAGAAACGTGTTTTTCAATATTACACTATAACTGCATTCGTCGAGTAAAGTTTTTCGACTCGTTTCTCATTATATGGTTATAAAACAAATTATGTAATTTTACGGTTGAAACCAGTTTTAGTTTTATATTTTTTTTATCTTACCATACATCTATCGATTGTTATTCAACAATGTTTTATTAATATTTTATTGTTACATAACACTGTACGTATTATAAATAAATATTCAAATTATAGTATAGTATGCAAAACCAAGAACATATATATAACATTTTATCTGTAAGTAAGCTTTATTTTTTACACAATAATATTATTTTTTATTAACAGATTAGGTCAAGTACGATTATCAAAGCAACTTTTTTCAATATAATTATTTATACATGAGTTTAAAATATTTCCATACAAAGAATATAATGAAAACATGTGAATCAAAGGGTCATAGGTCTTTAATAAATCATAGTCCGACTTTCCAACCAATTTAATTTTAATTATTCAATAATAATAGTAAATTTGTATAGCCCTTTGGTTACAATTGTAACTAATAAAGATTATTATTATTAGTAAATTTGTTTTGAAAGTGTTCGCAGTTTACATCTGATAACCAATTACTATAGCTTGACATAAGAAAATATACATTCCATCTATATATCAGTACCAGACATTGCTTAATTTTTAAACTTGTATAATTAATATTTTATTGTATTTTAGTTATATATATATTAATATTAAAAAAATACTTATCAAAAAAAATTAAGTAATGTTTTACAAATAGCAATGAATGCCTAAAGTCCTTACTTTAAGTTAATATATTACATTATTTATTTGGAAGCATTTGTAACAAGATTTGGACATAAATATTTCGCTAGAACACATGATTAGAAGACCTCGTGGTTCATAATAGGCTTATTACATCAAATAAAAATAATTATATGTAATTGGTGTAGTTAGTTAGATCAATCGCAAGTAAAATTACATTTTAATAATAAATTGGAAATGAATTGCTTATCTGTAGTCAATTTGCGTCTTGAAATACTCCATATAGATTACACTATTTATTGACTATTTATTTGAAATATTTTTGAAATAATCATCGGAAATACTCGTTATATAATAAGTATACACCTTGAAATTATTATTTTTATTATACAAAGTTGTTAATTATCTGACATAAGTAAAATGATACTGCTAATCTAGATATTATATGTTGTTGACACTATTTGTAATATATATTTATGTTTACACAGGTGAAGTGAGTGCATATTAAACAAAAAAAACTTAAATCAAAGATAAAGTTTTGAGCATGATGTAGATATTTTTTGCGGCAAGCAGATTTGCACGACACGTGGCCGCAGTATATATGAAGGAAAAGTCACGTCTTTGTATCCAAGAAGCAAATGAAAGCACTGTATGATGTCTTTGTTCTATCGTAAATAGTAACTCAGTATTACAGTATAAATTTAATAGAGAATTGCATTTATTTTTGCCACAGCTCAGCTCAATATCTGCCCCGTATACATTTATTAAAGCCAGCGCAATCAAAAGGAAAAAAAACTGAAGCAAAAGTATTGGAAGAGTGTCAAGGTGCGTAAAGAAAAGAAATATCGCGGTTTCGTAATGTAACTGATCGGCTTTTAAGGGAACTGCAGGTTTGTGACTAATTTGGTTTATTTCTTCCATAAAATGTAATGAAAAAACAATTTCTTAATTGAGCCTACAATTCTTTCTGTATTACGTAATCTATACAAGGACGCTCTTTGTACAACAGAAGGAATAATACTGTTTACGAGAGGCTTATCAAATCAACTGTTCTCGATGTGTTAAAACTTTTCCTATTTACCCTGTTTAATGGGACAACTTATCAAGAGAGTGTAAATGTAAATAATTTACTTTTACGTTTCACTGACCTCCGGTCATTCCAATAGTTCATCTCCATATGTCATGTTTAGAAATGTAAATATTACAATAATTGATAAATATAATAAAAAGGTTTCTTATAATAGTCATAACAATAGAAAACAGTCAACACAAATAGGAAACAATATATAACTGCAAAACAATACAATATTTTTAATTTATCCAAAACAATATTAAAACCAAAACACACCCAAGTATGTTTCTATTATCGAAATAACCGAGAATATTTGAATATAAATTAATAATAATTTATTGGCCAAAAAATAATATAGTTATAAATTGTGGTACAGCACAATAAACATAAAAAAAATTGATGTACAGTGGAACCTCGCTTAACGGTTTTAATCCGTTCAAAAATTTCCAGATTTTTATTTGTATAATGAAATAATCGTATAGTGAAATACGTTTTCCCATATAAACTAATGTAAACGTTAATGCGTTCCATGCCGGAGAAAAAAAGTATAACTTTTCTCGATTTTTCATGATTTTGCTTTTCATATCTATGGTTATTTTTGTTCTTTAGCTTTTTATTCGGAGACATGCCAGTGTTATTAAATTTTGCACAAAAAAACACAAATAACATGTCTGAACACAAGTTTGGAAATTTTGTGATCACAAACAACACTAAGATGCAACTAGAATAACAACTAACACCAGGAACTTTTTTCCAATTCACAGACGGTAAAGTGAGTTTATATTTGTTTATATTACTTGTATCAATTCGGGGACTTGGTGGAGGTGTTTTTATACTTTTAATATTTGTTTATATAAAAACCGTACATAGTGTATTTATATATTATAATAATGGTTGGACACAATACATTTGTGTTTTGCATTTACAGCATACAAGTATAGTCCGCTTTAAATAAAAATGACAAAGAAGATCGAAGATGGTTAATATATTAAAAAATACACATAATATGTGTACACAAGTTTTCAAAATGATGTAGCAGGCGTACCATCCAGGACTACTCTTCTCATCGTCACTCGTTATGCGAGTTATATTTAAAAAAATAAATATAATTTGTAATCAAGAAGATAAAAGTAGTAAACAAAAAAAAAATATTTCTATTCAAATTAATATCAATATGTATATCAAAGTTTATGTAATTATTATAAAATATATAATATTATATTATTATTAAATAATATTATTAAACTCCTACGATAATAATTATGTTTAATATTCGAGCTGTACGAATTAATTTAAAGAATAACACAAGTAAACTTAAAGAAGTAAGTAATTTTTGAGTCGATAGTTAAATTAAGCAAACTATATAAAGAAAACTAAAATCCCGGAAGTCACCAAGTTGTTAGACATGGAATACAGCTGAATAACAAATTTTATTACCGTTTTCAGGCAACGAACATTATTTTTGTATTAGTGCTGGAGCTATTTCGAACACTCAATTATTTTCTTTAGATTCAGTTTCGTACGACGAAATAGTGCGTGTTGTTTCTATTAAAGTCGTCAGCAGACAGTACGTGTTTGGCATGCCCTATTGTGTGCGTGTCTTTGGTATACAGATAAGTTTAACAGTTAGACATCATTACATGACTATTTCCGCTGTGCAGGAGATTTGGGTAGTAATTTTAGATTATATTAATTGAAGGGTAAACTATTTTAGGAACTGCAGCCGTTACCATGCCATGGACACATTTAAAACAATCCTCGAATGTCGTTGCATTAGCTACGAAAGAAATTCAGTTCAATGTAAAAAGAAGGAAGTAGAGAATAAATACCACACACAACTTCTATTTAAACTGTTTCTTAGATATAGTATATTCAGTATTAGCTATGTAATAGCTATCATTGTTTAATTATGTAATTGATAATTAAAAAAACACAATTTTTTTAAAAAGTAATAAATGTTAAGTTTGAGAAAGAGATGAAATTGTAGAATAAGAGGTTGATTGTTTTAAATTAAATTTCGCATACATAAATTGTTTTCTATTCTAATTAATTTTTGTTTGGAGACTCGTAAGTCTAGTTTGTTTTTCCACCTTCCATTCTTCGTTAAAATGCTATTGCCGTTTCGAAACATTTAAGTATAAAAAATCGAAAAAATCCCTTATGTTGGTATCAATGTCTATAATATATATTAACTTTGGTTGAAGCATAATGGCTAAGAACAAGAAAATCGACTATTTATTCAATATATGTTTGAATAACGTATAAATGATATAATTAAGCATTCATTGCTTGTATTAATAATATAACATACGTCAAAGGAACTGAGTTATCTGCCGCAATTGACCTTCTTTTATCAACAACTTTAACACGTGTCGCTTGATGCATCGTTAAAATCACTCAAATATTGTTAAATCTGGACCCGTTTCTTACTCTTGTGTGATGTGAACTAGATGAACATAAGGCATATCTCTATGGAATTAAGCAGTTTAGAAAAAAATAGTTCGTGGAAAGCATAGCCGAATGAACAACGACTACAGTTGCTCAAATGAAGTAACAGAGTGATTGGTCAACAGCAGAAAAGAACTGTGCGACGGAATGAAGTGTAGTGGGGAAAACAGAAATCGAGGGGGCAGCACTCAGTAGCAAGCTATTCTATACGGTGTTCCTTTCGTCTCAGCTCTAATATTTCAACAAACTAAACTTTCCGTCATACAGAAGTACCACTACAAGAAGAAACGCACATCCAACAGTGATAAGGGTTGTCACCCTCAGTTTGCGATGAACGCTGATAACAACAATCGCAAAGAAGTGTATTTACTGGTGACATCGCTCTGACTGATTTACCAACTGCTGCAGACATTTTTCTCCACCGTCAAGTAACATTTCTTTTTTATTCTTCTACCGTGAATTTGAAGACACGTCAAGATGTATAAGTTGTTGAGGGGGCTCAAGTCCTACCTAAGGTCGCAGGACATTGCCATCGACGGCGCCATTTTCCGTATGCACAACCTTTTTACAACGGCAATGTTGTTGGCCTGCAGCCTTATCATCACGGCTAGCCAATATGTTGGACACCCCATTCAATGTATAGTAAATGGTGTCCCTCAACATGTGGTTAACACGTTTTGCTGGATCTCCTCGACCTTCACCATGCCGGACGCTTTTAAAAGACAGGTAAGTTTTGACCTTAGACTCCTCCACAACGGTATTCTTCGTCTGGAAGGGTGGGTGTAACCATAACGTATATATAATCAATTTCATTAAGTTCACTTACGAATATAATCAAATGGCAACAGCTGAATTGTTTATAATTGTCTTTTTATTCCTGTTAATAGCATTTGTTGTTTTAGCTAAGTCGTATATATTCACAGGAAATTTGATTTGCAATAGCATTATTTTCAAACATGACACATTTTGACATAACCTTTACATCTTGATATGTCAACATTGTCATGTGTCATAAAAACATTACAAACAATCAACTGCAAATCTGCATAATTAAACATTTATCGTCAATTTATCATATGAAAATGTATGCGTATGCTAATTATATAAATGCAATGGTGACATTACAACTAAAACATATTCACATGGACAATGTTAAATTATTTTATTATGAATTTGTTTATAATATTTCTTTATAACATGGTAGAAATAGTTTACAGGATATTGTCACATTATTACCATCAGTAATTACGGTTATATTACTTTCAAGGAACCGTAAACCTGTTTTGCTTCATATTTTAAAAAATGTATGTTATTAAAATTTACATTTTTTAAATATGAACTATTAATAATTTCAGATTAAGCAATTGTAATTTATTGATTACGTAATATTACACACAATAAGCTAATATTCAATCTAAATGTTAATATTCTTTAACATAATTTTTCTTCCAGCTTAGTTAAAATTAAGATTCAAATAGCATCTAACAATAATCTGATTAGGAGCCTATATATGATTATATAATGCAGTCATTGCTGTTACCGAGATATTTATAATTATTGCTCATTAGTTTATTTTCACATGCAATTTCTCAATAACTACATTAATATGCTTTATTAATATAAACGGGTTTTTGAATGCAATGATCATTAAAATTATTGTATTCGCTATCTCAGACATAAATTGTTCAGAAAAAATTAACTATTCCTGTCATTAACCTTTTATGAGAGTGCTGAATTTAGTTAAGTACGTGAGCAACGTCAATTAAAGCAGATTGTTTTGTCTGGAAAACCGCATTTGACGTCGAGGAATGCACAACTGGACATACGAAGAAAGAGGTCAATTCAATTGCTACTAATTCAAAGAACGTGTTGACTCAAGAGAATCAATTGAGTTACATGCGAAGAGTGCAGGGCATGATCGATTGTTGCGCATTTTATAGGCTTGACTTTGACTGGGTGCAATGTTGGGATCACCAGTGAAAGCCAATTTCATAAATAGAAGTAGATTTGATTGTGTATTTAATGACTACTACGTCAATTCAACAACTGGCTAAATCGACTGGAGTTAGAGCTGAGATTAATTTAATAATTCCAAGAAATTAATGTAATAATTATTTTTTATAAATCTGTATAATCATTTAATTTACACTAAAAATTGTATATTATTTATGTATGTTTAATGTGCGGTCGATTTTTCTTATATTTTTTAAAATTTTGGTCATTTAATATTATTTGATACTTTATAATAATAGCTTTATAATAATTTATTGCTATTTAAATTTGGAATATTTATTTTATAATTTGGCGTTCATCGTTCATTATCTTTGCATACTTTAAAGAAATATAAACAAAAGTAAAATATTGCATAAGTTCAAGGTTGATCGGGAATGCAAATATTTTTTATTGACTTGCAAAACTGCTTCTAATTTTCTTTTTATTATTAAATTTCATAATCATCATAAAGTCTCATTTATATAAAATTTACATAAGTGTTATTGCGGTATCAAAACATTTTTTAATTTACTATAAATGATCTTTTATTCAGATCATTTCCTAGAAATGTTCAATTTTTTTTAGAATCACTTGGTTTGTAATAAAAATCACTTGGTTCTGAGAGTTTCCCACGATTAATCATCAATGAAATTGCATACACAGAATTTTGGCTTGATGCAAATGCATCATTCGCATTATCGCATTAGTCACCCAATTCAATGTGAATGAAAAGTTTTAAGAAATATACAATTTGAGATAAAAAATAAACTAATGAATAAGTAAATTTACATATTTATTTTGTGCACACTTGAATAAAGGTTTGAACTGAGCATATGTAAAGTATAATATTTAACATAACATAAGGGGGGTCACTATTCTCCATCTACATGACGTTTTCTTAAAGGAATATAATGCAATAATAAACAATTCCATTTTTTTATATTCTAAATAAATATCAGATTATGTCTATAATTACATCACATATATGATGTAAACTCACTAGTTTATGTTAAGAACTGTTTGTTTATTATTTATGTGTTTTAGGTTGGCAGAGAAGTAGCACATCCTGGCATAGCGAACGACTTCAACGATGAGAGCGCTCAGAAGTATTACACGTATTACCAATGGGTCTGCTTCGTTCTCTTCTTCCAGGTAAGCAAGTAGGCATCCTTGAAAAATACAAGCAGTGTGTTATTACATACATACAATTCCTTTTTAATTATACTCGTCCCTTCACCATAAATACTTTCTCTAAGGTGATTTTTATTGAAAATTAAATGAACTACCATTTTGAATATTATGGAATTGATTTTTATTTTGTGAAATATACAACATTTATGTATTCGCAAAATATCAATAGTACATTTATACAATCTGCAATAAATTACACTCATTAAGAAAATACCACTATAAGTAGAATGATTGAAACAACTTAATAGAATTTCCATAAATAATTAATGTCTATAAATTAATTTCTTCTCATTGATTAATGCGATTACCTGTTTTTATAATGAGGTATTGCCCTTAAATGGAATATATTAATTAAACAAATTGTCTTCGTTTTACCAGAATACTATTATACTTTTCGATACGTAATCAAACTAATTTATTTTCATTGTAGCATATTCCATTTTGGTGAAACCTATTTACTATGCATGCGGTATAACGCCAAATAAAAAACTGAAAGTAATTACCTCGATAATTAACCAAAAAAATGTATACTGTACGCAGTTTGGAATTTAATGTTGTTATTATAATACTTCCGCGTTCATTTCCATTGTCATTGGTTCTGTTCATTGAAGCACATATTCGCATCAAAATTACAAAAACGTAGAGAATAATGATATAAATAATTACATTACTCCATGTCGTTCAACTCAAAATGAATATAAATAAATATTTTTTTGCACGCATGAGATATATTTCAAGGTATTCTATTTTGTGATATTTCCAAAGTCTGCTGCTAATTAAAAGTCTAATAGAAGGAATTATTAAGAAACCGGAATAATTTAGATTGTTTTGAATCATTATTACAATTTGATGTTTTCATTCTTAAATATAGCAATTCTATTAAACAATCAATATCCTTTCTTTTTTTCATAATACACAATACAGTGTGTTGAAATGATATATTGTTATTTTAGTTGAATGGCTTGTTTCTTATGATATAAGGGAAGTGGCCAATTGAAATCTAAAAATATGTTTTTCTTAAGTGCTCAAGCGTGGTTGGCCGCACACTATTGTACAACGGTTGCCTGATTGTAATCATTTTTCATGATGAATGTCTCATGCATCACATATTCTTTTTAAGTAAATTGACTTCTAATATGTTTCTGTTTTCAGGGTTTAGCGTGTTACGCTCCGAAAGTAATCTGGGATGTATTCGAAGGAGGATTATTGAGGACTTTGGTTATGGGATTCAATGTTGGCATATGTACGGCGCCCGAAAAACAATTCAAGAAGGCTGTCATTCTCGATTATTTGCAGAAACACGTTAAGGTAGTTAAGTTTTAATAAATTAATATTCTAAGAACGATTCAAAGTTGCAGTTGTAACATTTATACCTCTTTCAGTTTTGTTTTAATACTTGTATAATTTGCATTTAAGAGATTTTATTATATTTTTTTAGTAATATTATTATTTTTTGTTTCAGAGGCATAATCTCTACGCTATAAGATACTGGGCTTGCGAGTGTCTGTGCTTGATTAATGTTATCGTTCAACTGTATCTAATGAATAAGTTCTTTGATGGTGAATTTTTATCTTATGGATTGCGCGTATTGAATTATTCCGAAACGGCACAAGACGATCGGGTAGATCCTATGGTTTATGTATTTCCTCGTGTAACGAAGTGCATTTTCCACAAATATGGTGCGTCAGGTAGCATCCAGAAGCACGACAGTCTTTGCATTCTGCCTCTCAACATCGTTAACGAGAAGACGTACATTTTCATCTGGTTCTGGTTTATGATCCTCGCAACGCTGCTCACTATTCTTGTGGTCTATCGTATCATCATCATCGCCATGCCCAAATTAAGGCCAAGAATCATGCATGCAAGGCACAGGGACATTTCTATGGAGACCTGCCAAGCGATTACGAAAAAAGTAGAAATAGGAGATTGGTGGCTTCTCCTGATGATGGGTTCTAATATGGATCCATTAATCTATAGAGAGATTATTATGGAGCTGTCGAAGAACATTGAACCTTCAAAGAGTGACAAAAAATGAAAACAATAAAAGCATGCAGTTAACACTATAGGGAGACAAAAAAACAGATTAAGGCTAGGCTAGTTCACATTCCGTTCCATCCTGCTCATACTTCCATTAGAATCAAACGAATTAAATTAATCTGTGATCTGTCAGGCGCAAGTTGTATACTGCCATTCTTAATATGTTATATCAAAAGCAATGTTCAAAATATATGCCGTAAAAGCGAACTGTTCACATGGTTAACTACATATCATGTTTCTTGAAGATACTTTTTATAGTACAATACTTCAAAACATTTTTTATACTATTATATACGTTTTTTATATGTCTAAGAATATATTTTTATCATTAGTTTTTATATAATGTATATTTAATAAAAGAAAATAGACTTAACTAACATTAATAAGTACTATTTTATGATACTTTTACATGACAGAATGAAAAGCCTGATCTTTGAAAGGAACTATAATTGTAAATAAAACTCAACTAAAGCAAGTAAGAAAAAGTGATAGAATATTGTTAAACTAGAAGTTGATATATTTCATAAATCATATAAGAAATAAGTTCCAACTGTGTTTTGTCGATTTAAGTCTTTGGTCGTTTATATTGCATATTGAATAAACATTTGCTTTATTTTCTCTGTACATGGTGATGTAATTCCTGTCTTTTAAGAACGTGTCGTAAAATCAAATGGTTCGATTGTTCACGGGCAGTCCGTGAGGCGTGCATGAAGAGGTCTATAACCTTTTTAGTTCCCTCTTAAGTATACAAAATGGCCGCTAGTCAAGTGACCAATGGGAGAGACTTGTTCCTTAAGTCTTTCACCACGGGCGGCAACAGCATTCTCAAAGCCGTTGCACAATAGAATGAGAAATTTTCAAATTATATACGCATATATAAGTAGAAAATCCCGCGGGCATAACTGAGAATAATTCATGTGACTAGTTCTACCAGCCGCGTGTTTTCATCCCACCAATACGATTAGAAATTAAGATTATGACCGTTTTCGATTACGATCTATCTGGAAACCTGTCAAATTAGTCCAAATGCAATTTAGTTATTACTGTACAATATTTACGACTGCGTTATTGCACATACCAAACGCATGTAGCGAAGAAAGTATTCATTTGAAAAAGCGTACAGAAGACAATTAACATTTTAATAAAAAAAAACAAGTAACATATACAGCCGTAAACTCCTCCAGGAGGGAAGTAGTAAATCCACCAATAAAAAAGCTATAAAAAGTATTTTTTTAAGAAACCAATTTCATTTAATTTTCCACGATTTAGCTTCATTACTATTATATTTATATTAAACATATGTATATTTTTAAGTGTATTTAAGTTATATTTATTAGTTTGTTATATTAATATAATAAGGAGAATAATATTTTAGTACAATTGTTACATATTTTTGTTTATAACATGCATAATAACATTTTAAACAACGTTCACTCTTCACGTTAATTTCTTTTATTGATTATTATTTCTTCAATATTTGTTTTTGAATTATTCAGAAATCGTTTTTTTTATGTTTACGGCTATTTGTTGTAATTAAATAAGGAAACATCTTTTTTTCTTTCATCATACTCCTTCCCTTTGGCGGAGGCCGCCATTTACCGTACTGTCGCATTGCGTCAGTTGCAGAAAAAAATGTAACATATTTATTAATAATTTTGGTCCTACTGATGTTAATCTACACACTACAATGCTAAGATTTTTTGTAAAATTGAGTTTGAAATTAGAACTTTCCCTTTGTATCCGATCTTTGTGATGCAGTTGATGTTGCTTAATAAAATAACTGAAATTATATAAAGTTATAGGCAACCAAATTATCAATAATGTTTTTAATCAGTTCTGGAAGTCGTTGATGGTTGAGTGTCGTGTCCATATAACAGTCAGTGAATTATGTAATTACGCTTAATGTTACTTTTATCTAATAATAGGTATCCTGGTACGTGGTTTAATTTTGTCGTTACATGATCGATGGTGACTGTTGTCCTTGCATTGTATCAAAATAAACAATTATTACGGGAGTCATGAGGTTTTTCTGAATGGAATTGTGGTTTCATTCAACGGTATCTAGAATTACTATATTGTTGTTATTAGAAATATGATAATAAGGTTGGATAAAAAATATGTATTTGATAAGTTAAGAAAAAAATAATTAAACAAAATTCAATAGTCAATTATGGAAATCAGTGATTCTCAAACTTTTTGGTCCGCGGCCCCCTTTTGAACATACATTGTTTCTGTGAAATATGATTTTATATTGAAAATTACTAAACTATAAGTTGTTTTTTCTTATCTTTCAGCGAAGGGTATTTACGTAGGGCCTAAGACAACTTAATGCGGCCCTGTCATGGACTAACACACGAAACATGGTATCATACAATTTTTTTTTTGCACAGTAAACAAGTAATTTAAAAAAAAATATGATATTTGCATCTTCATCCGAATATTGTTCGATTTAACAGTATGATGCAATTTTGTCATTCTTATATGAAACATTAATTACGATACAATTTTTTTTAGGCAAAATAAAATATTTGAAACAAACTGTTTTCTTACCTAACCTATCTGTTTATAATACATAGTTTCAAGTTTAGAAAGTCCTTTCATAGATGGAGATTCAGTTAAAAAAAAAACATTACAGATATCTACACTATCATCCAAATTTTTCTGTTGACATGGTCGCATCTAGTCTTCTTTATAGAATGCAACCAATTATACTCATCTTCATATAGCCTATATCTGAATATTGCAACTGCAATTCAGTACAGCCATAAAGAAGTTGGTAAATCATAATAGTTTGCGATTGGCGTAATGCGTCGACAGGATACAGATAAATGGTAGAGGCTCTTCCTAGAGGGAAGAAACAGGTGGAAGGAAAAAAAATCATAATAGTATTCACATAATGAATTTAACGTGCATTTTCTTATTTACAGTTGCAGTATTTGTTATGATAAAATTTTTAAATATTAATGCAAATGTGATATGATAGTACATATATCATGTTATTTAATATCAAACTTGTTAATTAAAGTTACAAAAACATATATAACAGATATTGTGGAACTTCGCTTTCCGGACATAATTTGTTAATAAAGCCTGTTCAAAACTCAGTAAGAGAATACTTGTTTGGAATTTGAAACTTTATGCGGATAAATTTAAATTACAAAATGCATTCCTTTTGATAGTTAATGATAATCTGCAATTACATATTACATTAGTTTTAAAATAATATTAAAATTATTTACAATAACTATAAAAATAAAGAAAAAAAGATATAGATAATTAATTAAATAATATTCTTTATGGTAAATTGCGTCGTTAGTGAAATTATAGCTGAATCAAATAGACTCAAATAATCTATTTTCGTAATTTTGACGTGGAAAACCACCAATTGAGATAATGTTTTTAGAATGATCCATAACAGCGTTTTTCAATCGGATATTTGTTTGTAGTTGTATAGACCCAAATGTTTATAATGTATAATTTTACAAAAAACATGAAAGTTCCGACGAGAACTGAGAGTATTTAGCCAGTTTCTCACTTTCACACAAGATGACAGCTTCCATTACCTGTCCCATTGAAAAATAAATCAATAGTATGAGATGAGGAGATTATTAAGGAGTCTAATAATATTAACACGGATTCCATTGATAATCATATTTAGTAAATAATATATAACAGGAGTGGACAAACTGTGGCTTGCGAGCTCTTCAAGAGTTTTGTTTCAAACTTTGGGTGCGCCTCCCAATATTAGGTATGGCTCTTGCTGCAAAAAATCTGGATACCTGTGATATATACAATTGTTTCCAAAAGAGGATTGTTAACTTTGGAAGCCCTAACATTGTTTGGAAACCCTGGAGCCCATAAAGACCATAAAGACCTAAATCTGCCTCGGATTGTTACCGTACAAAGTGCAATTACTCCCTTGCAAGGAATGGCAGCTTATCAAGCTGTTTTTATGTAAATCGATATGTAAATAGGTATAATTGCAGAATATGAGGTAAGTTAATCTTTGTTGTAACATCCTCTTAAGGCTACGTTTGACGAACAGCCACATCTCAAATAGTGATTAAACAGTATTTATGCATATTATGTAGTAAAACTGTATATAAATTATATCAATTAATCAGATGTAAATAGAATTATTATATGTTTAACCCTTAAAAGCCTGATTTTCCAAATTATATTTAAAAAATATCAATGTATTTATTGCAATACATTAAAAACAAACCAATTGCAAGTGTAGAATTCGATTTAAAAGTCCAAGTATCAACTTTGATACTTGGGGCATTTAAGGGTAAATGAGATTATAAATATAAAATATTAATAATACATGCATGTTAGAAGTAAGCAGTTTAATAGATATAAAAAAAATTGAAAAATATATATATATATTTTATGAGTTGTCATTTCTATATTCATTGTGGAACGTTTCTATTTTTAAGTGTAACATAATATGTCGGTCGATTTAAAATTATATCTCTATCTTGGTCCAAAATATCAGATGCAAAAGCAGTTACCACATAATGAAGTTGAATTGGTTCTGAACTAATGTATCACGCTATTTAATCCATTGGATCTGGTTAAAAATAAGTAAAGCTTAACCAAACACACATCTATATAAAGGTAGTTCAGTTTTGAATGAATGGTTAATGACTTTTTCAGCTTTTAATTCCTGTTTAAATATGCTTTCTGGGTATCTGGTCGGAGAAGTTGCATCTTGTAGAGCTGGTGAAATGGATTTTAGTGTGTTTACATCGTTGATGATTAACAGAAGCTGGTGCTCATAAACATTTATCCATCGTGCACGTGCTTGTACTTTCAGGGCTCAGAAAAAAATATTATTATCTGCAGTTTTCGGAGTCTAATTTTCCTACCGGCTGCTGCCTCGTGCTTAAAAATAAACAACAGCGCAGCGAAAGTCCAAAGGGGGGAATCCGACCATCGCGATTAGCAGATCTTCGACCACTTCAAAAATCCTATCCAATCACTCTCCTCGACGAGCATCTTGGACAAAATATTTTCACAATACAAAATTGGGAATTGTACCGAAAATAGAAATTTGATTTTTTGTGACCGCCCAGTGGTTGCTGGAAAACGCGAAGCAAATGAAACTGCAACTATAGTTCCCCATAACAGTGTGGCATGTGCGCGCCTTCAGTAGCCACGAGAAGACAGTAAAGAAAAAACATGTAATTCTCAGTGCAAGAAAATAGAAAAACTTTCAAACCAAAATGGAATTAATATATAATTTAGTTCACTGGCCTAAAAAAAAGCATCAAATGAGTTCGAAATACTATTAACTTACGGATTATTGATTAACATTAAGGACGACTTACAAGTGTTCAAAAGCTTAAGACTCCCCCACAAGAAATGCCATTTCAGTTTCGGTCGCATAAGCTTCACGGCAACCTTAAGATTAAAAGGAAAACATAAAGTAAACAACAAGTACCGCATTTATTTTGTTACTCGACCCTTTACCTGCATTACAGGTGAGTTAAGATATATAAATACTTCTGTTTATATCCGCTTCTCTTTTCTTAATTCCATCTCATTGTTAATCTGAAATGAAAAATCAATGACCAGAACCAACAAACACTATTCCGGGGTGGTCTATCTTTAACTTTTATATTCTTCACGGTTTAATAATAACAATGGCTTTTATTTAGCTCGCCGAAGGACGATTTTACGCTTGTAGTCAATAACAGTTTGAGAGTAAATTAAAATTTCTGCTACACTAACTTCAGTATTGCTATATCAAAAATTACATCATTTTGAAAGAAAAATATATATATCACAAACAAATGTACAATTATAGAATGTTGTTTAAATTAAACGCGGAGAAAAAAAAGAGAGACGCGAAGAAGAAAACACACTTTAGATTCATTTGTAAATTAGCCATAAATAAAAATAAATTGCCTCAGCACCTAAGTTCCATTTAAATAAATATGATACACATTCGTTTAGTATATTTAAATTCTCTTTTTATCGTTTCATATGTTATTTTAGTTATCAGCTGTCTTCGCTTATAATTTATCCTGCCGTTGTCAAACATGATTGCAAATCGAATTACTTCAAAGTTAGGTTTTTGCATATCAAAATAACAAAGATTTATTGAATGTTGTTGTGCTTAATCATATAATAATTATTTTCAGATTTTTCACTTTTTACTGAAGAAATTTCAGTGGAAAGTTGTTAGGATCGGATGTTCTCAATAAGAAATGATCCTTTGTCGCGCGTCGTGTCCTTGGTGGGCAGAGACAGGGATCGCGTCTTCGCTGCTGAAGATAGACTGCGTGCTACGCGCGGTAGTATTCAGGACTTCCGGGGCGCTTCCACCAAACGTAAAGGGTCATTTGTGGATGGAGTACCAGGCATGGACGTATTAAGAGGAGTTTATACTCTTACTCAGGTATATAAACATTTAATATATTAATTAGAATTATATATAGAAATCTTGGTTCAGTTCGTTCACTTACAAAAATACGTGCATAACTCACGCATCAAGTTTTCGCATATATTCAGAAACAATTTAATGTGCTTATATATTATATTACTTACTACTAAATAATAGTAAATAAACATCAAGTTTACATATATGTATAAATTTATATATAACAATTACTTATATAATCGATTTTTCAAGCAACAGGTAAATTGTTGCGCTCTAAAATTATGTCGTAAAATATGTCTTACACATTATTTTTAAGGTATATATAACGGAAAGAATTACAACCAAAACCCGATGATTCATGATTTTATTTACATCATACATTTTCCATCAATAATTCTTTATTTATTTTTATTTTTAAAATATATGATTTAATGTTTATTTATGTGTTGCAGATCAATCATGTGACAATCGATTCATTAATTTTTCGACTACACAGCAACGCGACTGTCATTTTATTGGTAACATTTTCTATTGCTATCACGACAAGGCAATACGTCGGGAATCCCATAGAATGCATGCATACTAGGTATGTATTATTTCAGTTAGTTTATCATTTTCATGAGTTACATCAAGCTAGCGTATCTAAATCCAACAACTGTTTATGAATTTGCACATTCATTACGAGACAGACTTACGTTTAAAATTATAACATGCACGTAAACAAATGTATTTATACTTATATTTTAATTCTATAACATCAATATTTGCTTAATAATGTATCAGTCTGCTTATAATGATTTATAACTAATAACTAATTTGAAAGCGTACCATGAGCCGGTTATTGTCTGAGTGTATGCAGTAAAAACAAAAATTGTAAATTAACTCGCTGTTAAAAAAGTAAAATCTTACAAATAGTACACTACATTGATTATAATATTAAATGTACACTGTATAGGCAAAGCAGGATGTATATTTTATAAC